GTAATTTAGTAAACAAAAAAATGAATTTTTCTGTTAATTAATCTGCTATGTCAACCAAAATTTAACGGAAGCACAAAAAAATGGCTGGATTTTAAAATTTAAGAACTAAAAAGGAGATTTTTTCGGTATATGGACTAAAATAGAGCTTTTTCCTATAGTAGAGGGACCAAAAAGGGTATTTAACCATAAAATTTTTGCTTGGCTTAACAAAATGTAAAAACATTCTGACCAAAAATTTCTAACATCAAAATGTATCTTTTGGATGAACTCTTGAAGAGGTGCTTGGAAAGATTTCAAGAACTAGAATATTGCAAGAAATGACATGGATTATTGTGTGTGAAGAAAAATATTTTAGTTTTCACCAATATCTTATAGCTTGTATTATTCTTGCATAACTATAAACACAATTATAAATTTATAGATAAAATATTTTTTTATCTAACATGTTATTTATAATTATATGAAATGGTATTGTCATTTTAAAATTTTCATGGAAAGGTGGTGAATCAGTGTTGGGATCACGAGACTTATCAGACCAAGCTATCAGATATTTGCACATTTTTACAATCATGAGAAAATTTCAGGATTTCATCATGTAATTCATGACTTTAAATGAGTTAATGTTTATACCATATGTAATTTTCTAAATGAAAAGAAATAATCATAACATGACAAATCATATTGTACCTAAAACAATGTACACCTAACATTTCTAATGCCGCCAATGAACCTAAGCACTCTTATGATATTCTCTACTCCAAGCGGAGTAAAAATCCTTAAGTTTGAATAGTATGTATTTACATGAAGTAGGTAAAAATATAAAAGAGAGTAGTCTTCAATGTGGAACCCAAAATCAAAAGAAAAAAATAATAATTTCCAATGCTTTGGCTATATTTGGAATTGCCATATAACATTGATCGCAACTTTTTCTATGTTGTGCCATCACAAAATATGCTAATATTTTAGAATTATTTTAAATTGATCTTTTTATTAATTTTGAATTGTATAATAAAAGATAATTTTCTTTCATCCTTTTCTCTTCTCACCCATATATTACACTTTTCAAATTTAGAAGAGGAAGTTCCGACTAAACCACTTACATATTTTGTATAAAGAAATTGCCATTAAACCACTAAAATCATTGACTTATTTTGAAGTGTTATACATTTATATAATTACTAAAACAATTAACATTTTCTACTTATGAAAAACAATCCTTATCACGAGCCTTTATGATTAATGATTTGTTTTTGTTTACATCAACGTTATCAATAGCAAATAGTGGAGAGACCAAAATTCATTAGTATAAATTTGGTGGATAGCGCTGTGATTATTGACAAAATAGTGGCCAATTAAAATAAAGAAAATATAAAATATAAACTGTAATAAATAATTTCTTTTTAACAAGGGCAATCATAGGGGGAAAGAGGAAATGACACAGTCCACATGCTGAAGAAGCCTCAATGGTCCATAAGTAAAATGTGAATATTCAAGTAGTTGATGAAGCTTAAACTCTCGTCAATTCTATCAAAATAGTAAAATTTAAAGATAAACTATTATACCGAATGACTGGTTTAAACTATAATAAATAAGAAAATAGTAGGAAAAAGGCATAAAAGACGTAACATCAGAAAACAAAAGCACTAAAATAGAGTTTAAAAGTCAATACGACAACTGTGGTCGCTATAGCTGCTATGGCGGCCCTATTCTATTTCCAGCATGCTTTTCCGCTATAATAGTCATCGCAGCCACCATTGACAACATTGTTTTGCATGTGCATTCACTAATAGCATCTTGGTCATTTTTAGTTTGGAGTAGCCTTTTTATAGCCCATTGAAAAACACCAATCTCTCTCACATATATTTCCTCAAAAGTATAATGACAATAACATTCTTATAATAAAGTTCACCCCCTTCCAAGGCAAAAAGAATCTTATGATGCTTACTTATGACAAGAAGGTAGGTGGATGTAGAGGGAGTGTCAAAATAACAATACAAGAAGCTATTTGGAGAAACGCCCACACCACAACAATGACAAACTCAACAAACAGGACTCAAACCATTTTGCTTTACATGCACTAAAAAATAAAACACTTGAATCTCCTCTTTATTGTAGCAGTAAATCAGCCAGCTAATCAATCCTTCTTTTTCCCTCGCTACTTTCTACGAACCTGCTCAAAACGTACATTGATAACACAGATCACTCAAAGAGCACTTAGAAGGACACCCAGAGGCCTCACTTGAATTTAAAACTTTGTAACATCATCGCTCCAAGGACAGACCCAATGTATTCCTGAGATTAACAAATCATGAGCAAAATTTAACGTATAAAAGAGCAAATCAAATAGTAGTATGCTATGATGAAGACAGCAAAAATAATTCAATAAATTAAATGAAGAAACAAGTAGTCCAGATGAAAAAAAAAAAAAAGGCAGCAACTAGAGTGCAAGAACATAGACTGATAAATCTCAAGAATCTGCCATACCTCTAGCTGAAATTGAATCCACCTGCAGGAACATTAAACTCAGCCCCTTGGAATCCAGATTGAGAAGCATCCCCTGGGGGCAATGTCCCATCATCCTCATCTGACCAGTATGTCTCAAGAACCTTAACAACTTTCTCATAGATCTCAGTGTTGTCATGAGACTGTAAATTCTCAATTTTCTCTAACCCTTCAGCATCATCGATCATTTGTGCATAAAGATTAACTCCTCCATTATTGCCCAAATTCTTGTCAGCTTCTCCCGCTTTCAATATGTTTTCAAGACCTTCTAAACAAACTGTGATTATCCTTGGATCAGGGCAGATAAGAAGGTCACACAAGGGTTTGATACAACCTTGACTTACAAGGTACCTGCAAGTAATGATAATCCCAAAGAACAAACTGAGTAGATCACTTAAAATTAACCATTTTAACATGCCATATGCAATTTTAACATGCTAATTGCAATTCCATACAAATATACAACAAATATAAGGAAATTAAAAATTTTAAGATACTTGATTTGCTCGTGAGTTCCACCAGATGTAGCATTTGAGATTGCCCATGCAGCTTCTTTCTTAATATCAAATTCAGCACTTTGAAGCAGGTGAACAAGTGGACCAATTATATTAGCATCTACCACAGCCTGTAAGTAAAATACATTTTATGATACATTATTTTAATGTTCAAGTAAATGCAAATGAAGCTGTACAAAGAAATTGATAAAAGAGATTATTAAGGCAGAGGAAAAATCTACATGATGTGTCCACATGTACCTGAATCTGTTCCTTATTTCCAGCTGTAATATTTGAGATTGTCCAACAAGCTTCCTTCTTGATACTCTTTTTATAAGTATTCATCAACAGGTTCAAAAGACAAGGTAGAGCTCCATGATTGATGATACACTGGATCCAAACAGGATTCATTAACACAAGAAACTATAAGGAAAAATCAATGAACTAATCTTTGGAAGTGCAAGCAGACATACTAAACTGAAAATCTCTTAGTGGCTTAATACCTGCGTTTG